ATCAAAACCCTAATGACGGACTCCTCTTATGTACTTCCTACAGACAGTGTCCGCTAATTCAGTGTTGCCCCTTCTTTAAAAGTGCAAAAATGAACCCACGTGCAGGGGATGGGGGAACAGTTAGGCAACCTTTCCTTACCTTCCGTAGTGCAGGGAGTGACATCATCTGGCTGGCCCACAAGATCCCGGGAATGATGAGTAACTTCAGCCTGGGTTCACACTGATGCGGTGCAGAATTTGCAGCGGTTTCTGTGTGAATTCCGCACCGCATCACAATCGCACCCCGTTCACGTGAACCGCTGCGGGTGCGTATGTTAAGTTAACACCCCAAAATCGGTCCGCAAAACGCTGTGCGATGTGCAGAATCGGATCGCATAGGTGTGAATCCGATTCTAGTGCGCACCAAAAAAAGGGTACTGCACCTTTGTGATGCGGTGCGATTTGAGCCATACAAAATGTATGGCTCAAATCACACCACGCAGAATTCACATGTGATTTGCACAGAAGTGCGGTTCCGGTGTGCCCGGTGCATGCGATTACCGCACAAGTGTGAACCCAGGCTAAATTCCGCTAGAAGATGTTGCCGCACAGTGCAGGGTCCATCAGCTTGTGAGATTCAATATTATTCAATCCCGTCACTTTTTTTTTTTTTTTCTTTTTTTTTTTTTTTTACTTCACTTTCATTTATTGTTTTAGGGAGGCGGAGGGGCAGCTTGAATAAGCAGACTTGTCACTGTTGATCTTGTAAGATCTCTTGCAGGTTGATCACTTCATGAGCTCTCCACTTGAGCTGTCTGATATCAGTTACATTGTTCTCAGCTCTCTCTGGGAACTAGAATACAGAAGAAGGGGGATGTTGTTATTATTATACAGGATTTATATAGCGCCAACAGTTTGCTCAGCACTTTACAATATAACGGGAGACAATACAGCAACAATACAGTTCGGTACAAAAGGGTTAGGAGGGCCCTGATCCTTGGAGCTTACAATCTAGGAGGGAGGGGCTAGTGGTACAAAAGGTAGTAACTGTGGGGGATGGACTGGTAGGAGATAGAAGATTCCATTGTTAGCTGAGGGCAGGATAGGCTTCCCTGAAGAGATAGGTTTTCAGAGATCGCCTAAAAGTCAGCAGAGTAGGCGATAGTCTGATAAATTGTGGTAGAGAGTTCCAGAGGGATGGGGGAAGCTCTGGAGAAGTCCTAGAGACGAGCATGGGAGGAGGAGACAAGGGAGCAAGAGAGCAGGAGGTCATGCGAGGAGCGGAGAGTACGGTTTTTTGGTGATATTTGGAGACAAGATTGGTGATGTAATTTGGGGCAGAGTTATAAATGGCTTTATACACTATTGTTAGTGTTTTTTTGGGATTTTTTTTTTTTTTTTTTTTAATTTTTGGTCAAAAAAAGTCCAAAAACGCTGGTTTGGCACGGATTTACCGTGTTTTTCAGTGTTCAAGCATTTTTACAGCTAAAAAAAAACTCCTCTAGAAGCCCACTAGTCCTGGGTTTTTGTTTCAGCCAAAAAACGTCCCTGCCAAAAAACATTGATTACAGCCTATGTGCGCATGGAGACATAGGATAACATGCTGGGGAGTTTACTGGCTGTAGAAAAAACGTCAAAAGCCATCAGACTGTCACCTATTCTCCTCACCTTTTAGGCGCACCCTGAAAACCCTCCTAGATTGTAAGCTCCAAGGAGCAGGGCCCTCGAACCCCTCGTGTATTGAATCGTATTGTTACTGTACTGTCTCGTGTATTGTCTCCCACCATAATGTACAGCACTGAGCAAACTGTTGGCGCTATATAAATCCTGTATAATAATAATAAAAAGCCAAAAACAGCCACTGTAAAAATGTCTAGTGTGCATGAGGACTAACAAGGACATCTTATGCAGCCGCCCGAATTAAGGACTGGTAAGCTACAATATACTACATTTTCATTGTTGAGCTTAAATACACTTTAACCACTCGCCCTCCTGAGGATTTACCCCCCCTCATGACCAGGCCATTTTTTGCATTTACGTCCTTTTTTTTTTTCCCACGAATTGAGCTTTGTTTCGGTGGTAATTGATTGCCTCTGCATTTTTTAATTTTTTGCACTATAAGCAAAAAAAAATGTGAGTTTTGAGAAAAAAAAAATAATATTTTGGACTTTTTGCTATTAAACATGTCCAGTAAAAAAATTTAAAAAATCAAATTTCGTCATAAATTTAGGCCAGAATGTATTCTGCTTCGTGTCTTTGCTAAAAAAAAAAAAAATCCCAATACGTGTAAATTAATTGGTTTATGTGAAAGTTATAGCGTTTACAAATGGCGGTGTAGATAATGGGCTTTTTTTTTATTTCTACTAGTAATGACGGCGATTTTTGCGGGACTGCGGCGGACATTTTGACACTGGGGGGGGAACTAACTTGGTGTCACTGACATATACAGTGATCAATGCTAAAAAAAAAAGGCACTAACACTGTACTAATGGCACTGGGCAGAAGGGGTTAATGTGAGGGCCGATCAAAAGGCTAACAGTGTGCTATGTGTGTTTTACTAGGGGGCAGGAGGTGTTCTTCACTGTAAGAACACTGATCAGGGTGGCTGTACTGTGCACAGCCATCCTGAGCAGTGTGCTTGAGCTGACAGGGAGGAAGATTGTTTGTAAACGAAACAAGATGCGGAGATGCTCGGTAATCACCAAAAGCGGCGGGGGGGGGGGGGGGGTTAGCGGCCGGGACCCGGTGATTGACATCCGTGAATGACAGCGCAGGTGACCCCTACTCACAAAAGCAAAAACGCATATATATATACGTGATTTTGTGCACAGGTGCCGCCCTGTTGCAGTATATCTGCTATAGGGTGGTCCTTTAAGCGGTTAAAGCAGAAGTGAACATAATTGTAGAAAGCTGCAAGCAGGCAGCTCATTATTGGAGGAAAGATATGCTATGTTTCTTCTGCAATAATACACACTTACCTGCCCTCTTGCGGTTTTCCACTGATTGTACAATGAGCTACGCATGCGCAGCTCAGCATGCTTTCATGCCACACTCTGGCTGTGCCGGAATGACTGAGTCCTGTGTGCCAGTGTGGGATGACGTTATCCTTCACTGTCCAACCAAGGCCGAAAGCTTGGCACCCGGACATCAGATGACGGCAACCAGTGAGGGATGGAAACGCCGCATTGCTGGAAGGTGGAGATGAGAATAGTTCTGTTTTAAGGCCCAGAGTGCATTTCTTTAGTAAATATCAGTGACAATTACAAGAGAAACCACATTTTGCTAGTGAGGATCAAAGTGTCACTAAATCCAATACACATAAACCCCCCCCCATACCTTCATGTTTGCTCATCTGGATTCCTTGGAATAACAGTAGTGCAGAGCACCATAGAGAACAATTGATTTTTCACATTTGAGCTTTTTGGAGCTTCAAGCTACAAAACGCTCAAGTGTGAATGAGTACTGTATAGCAAACTGTGTGCTATGGGGGCACTGGCATGGGCCCTGATCCTGTGCCAAGCAGCTTGCATCTATTAACACACACAGTGTGGCTCAGTCCCACTCCCCACTCCTTCGTCACTGGATTTGATTGACAGCAGTAGCCAATGGCTTGCGCTGCTCTCACTGACTCCAGTGAGAGGGGGGGAGAGAGCAGAGCCACTGATTTCAGTCGCAGCACCGGATTGACATCAGGCTTTTTTTTTTTTTTTACCTTAAAGCGGAGTTCCACTCACTCTGTAAAATAATAAAAGTCAGCAGCTACAAAAACTGTAGCTGCTGACATTTAAAAAAACAGCCACTAAACTGTCCCGCGATCCCGCTTTGCCCCGCCACAGCCAAATTCACCGGCCGTCCTATATTCCAGGAGGCCGGCATTTTCAGTTTGGGCACCCAGCTGTGATAACTTGCGGCTTCACAGCCGGGTGCCCATTGCGCATGAGCGAGTAGCGCTGCGCTTCATGAATGGCCCCGTCTTTTTCTGTGACCTGTCACGTGTCCCACAAGACTACAGGGAGGAAGGGTAGGAAGGCAACGTCTGCTTCCGATCGCCTTGGGAGTGGGTACCTGTCATTTCAAATTCAGGTACCCCCCCCCCCCCCCCATGCTCTTCAAAGGTGCTAATCCTTAATGGGGAGTAGGGGACCAATCTTTAAAGCGGAACTTCACTTTAATACAGAGAATACATTAAGGTAAACCTCATTTAGCCTTTACAACCACTACTTTAGGCTGAGGAGATGAGTCCCCTGGATGTGGATAGAAGGGTAAAATTGCATAGCGGAGAAGAACAGATAGAAGAACTACAGAGAGAAGAGTATAATGGTAATAGAAAAAAAAAGAGGAGGAGGAGGAGGTGGGAAAGGAGGTGTTATCCTGGAGAGATGATGCCATGATGAAGGACTCAGGTTCTGCAATTGTTGTTCAGACCATGTGCTAGTGTGAATGGGCCCCATTACGTTGTAGTGTCAGTGACTGATTGAAATGCCCCCTGTAGGTAGTGTTCAATATGGCGTCTCCATGCTTTCAGAAATGTGTGTAGTACATCAGTTTGAGCAGCTGAGAACTTTTTCAAAGATCGTTGCCTGGGGCTCGTTATTTGTAATGTGAAGATTGGAGATTCCAAGATTGTGCTGTGACCCGCTTAGCAGCTGTAAAGATCAAGAACTGACATGGTTGGGAAAGTACAAACACTGCAGGTTGTGTTTTGGTGCAGAATTGGGGTGTGTGGAGGGTATGACAGCAGGCAGTATGTGTAAGGAAGGAGTACAGAGAGTATAAATACATCTATTGCCCCATCTAATCAGTCTCTGTGTGTGTGGGAGATACCGATTCAGGAATATGACACATTGATTAGATAAACTCAGCTGGATGATTGTTCTCCTGCAGAATATATGACAACAGGCAGTGTATGTAGGAGAGGAGTGTGTAGAGTATGAAAATGGACAGTATCTACAAGAGATAAGTGTGGTGGGTATGACAATGGGCAGTATGTATAGGAGAGGAGTGTGGAGGGTGTGGAGGGTATGACAATGGGCAGTATGTACAGGAGAGGAATGTAAAGGGTATGACAGTGGGCAGTATATACAAGAGAGGAATGTAAAACGTATGACAGTGGGCAGTATATACAAGAGATAAGTGTGGAGGGTATGACAGTAGGCAATATGTACAGGAGAGGAGTGTGGAGGGTATGACAGTGAGCAGTATGTACAGGAGAGGAGTGTGGAGGGTATGACAGTGGGCAGTATGTACAGGAGAGGAGTGTGGAGGGTATTACAGTGGACAGTATGTACAGGAGAGGAGTGTGGAGGGTATGATGGGTGGCTATATGTACAGGAGTGGAGAGTGTGCAGGATATGACAGTGGGCAGTATGTACAGGAGAGGAGTGTGGAGGGTATTACAGTGGACAGTATGTACAGGAGAGGAGTGTGGAGGGTATGATGGGTGGCTATATGTACAGGAGAGGAGTGTGGAGGATATGACAGAGGGCAGTATGTACAGGAGAGGGGTGTGGAGGATATGACAGAGGGCAGTATGTACAGGAGAGGGTGTGGAGGGTATGACAGTGGGCAGTATGTACAGGAGAGGAGTGCGGGAGGGTATGACAGTGGGCAGTATGTACAGGAGAGTAGTGTAGAGGGTATGACAGTGGGCAGTATGTACAGGAGAGGAGTTTGGAGGGTATGACAGTGCGCAGTATGTACAGGAGAGGGGGTGTGGAGGGTATGACAGTGGGCAGTATGTACAGGAGAGGAGTGTGGAGGGTATGACAGTGGGGCTAGTATGTACAGGAGAGGAGTGTGAAGGGTATGACAGTGGGCAGTATGTACAGGAGAGGGAGTGTGGAGGGTATGACAGTGGGCAGTATGTACAGGAGAGGAGTGTGGAGGGTATGACAGTGGGCAGTATGTACAGGAGAGGAGTGTGGAGGGTATGACAGTGGGCAGTATGTACAGGAGAGGAGTGTGGAGGGTATGACAGTGGGCAGTATGTACAGGAGAGGAGTGTGGAGGGTATGACAGTGTGGCAGTATGTGCAGGAGAGGAGTGTGGAGGGTATGACAGTGGGCAGTATGTACAGGAGAGGAGTGTGGAGGGTATGACAGTGGGCAGTATGTACAGGAGAGGAGTGTGAAGGGTATGACAGTGGGCAGTATGTACAGGAGAGGGGTGTGAAGGGTATGACAGTGAGCAGTATGTACAGGAGAGGGGTGTGGAGGGTATGACAGTGGGCAGTATGTACAGGAGAGGAGTGTGGAGGGTATGACAGTGGGCAGTATGTACAGGAGAGGAGTGTGAAGGGTATGACAGTGGGCAGTATGTACAGGAGAGGGGTGTGTGAAGGGTATGACAGTGAGCAGTATGTACAGGAGAGGGGTGTGGAGGGTATGACAGTGGGCAGTATGTGCAGGAGAGGAGTGTGGAGGGTATGACAGTGGGCAGTATGTACAGGAGAGGAGTGTGGAGGGTATGACAGTGGGCAGTATGTACAGGAGAGGGGTGTGGAGGGTATGACAGTGGGCAGTATGTGCAGGAGAGGAGTGTGGAGGGTATGACAGTGGGCAGTATGTACAGGAGAGGAGTGTGGAGGGTATAACAGCGGGCAGTATGTACAGGGGAGGAGTGTGGAGGGTATGACCCCCCCCATGAGCTGTGCCTGTGAAGGGTTAATGAAAACAGGTTCTTGGTTTAGTTTATTTGTGTAAATACAGCGGAGTCACCTCAGAGCTGATTCATGGTGCAGATTGAAGCCCAGGTTTCATAGTTAGTTGATACAGTGGTTGTTCTGCGGTTCAGGACAGGTTTACATCAGGTTCAGGACAGGTTTAGATCAGGTTCAGGTCAGGATTTTATCCTCTTTACAACTGATAGCATGTGCGGTTTAAAAATGATTCCCATAGAAGTCAATGGCCTGTAATTGGCACCTGAATCTGACCACACTGCTCAGAAATCGTACAGGACTCTTTTTCAATCCGCACTGAATCTGTACTGCCAGTGGACCGGACATATGTGAACAGGCACCATAGGAAGCAATGTTATTTCACATGTTATGCAGATTGGATGTGGTTTGAACCGCACCTAATCCACATATTCACTCATTGGCCGCTTTATTACACCTTACTAGTACCAGGTTGGACCCATCTTTGCCTTCAGAACTGCCTTCATTCTTGGTGGCATAGATTCAACAAGGTGTTGGAAACATTCCTCAGAGATTTTGGTCCATATTGACATGATAGCATCACACAGTTGCTGCAGATTTGTCGGCTGCACATCCATGATCTGTTGATACAAGGCAGGAGGGATCCATGCTTTCATGTTGTTTACACCAAATATAACCCAACCATCTGAATGTCCCAGCTGAAATTGAGACTCATCAGACCAGGCAACGTTTTACCAACCTTCTATTGTCCAATGTTGGTGATCCTGTGTGGATTGTGGCCTCTGTTTCCTGTTCTTAGCTGACAGGAATGGCACCCGGCCTTTGTCTTCTGCTGCTGTAGCCCATCTGCTTCAAGTTTGGACTTTGTGCATTCAGAGATAGTGTTTTGCATATCTTGGTTGTAACAAGTTATTGGAGTTACTGTTGCCTTTCTATCATCTCAAACCAGTCTGCCCATTCTCCTCTGACTGTAGTAGAGAACAAAAGAAAAGAGCGCACAAACCTTGCAAGTTTGTGCGCTCTTTTCTTTTGTCTCTACTACAGGCAATATCGAGCTTCCCCAGCTTCGTGTTAGAGCTGCATAACCTTTGATCAGTGTTGGATGAACAATATCATTTTACTAGATTGGCCCCCTTCTGATCTGAGTCCTTGAGCGCAGGAGGTGGTGGATGTGTGTTGACTGGTCCATTCTCCTCTGACATCAGCAAGGCATTTTCATCCACACAACTGCCACTCACGGGATATTTTCTCTTTTTTGGACCATTCTCTGTAACCCCTAGAGATGGTTGTGCATGAAAATCCCAGCAGATCAGCAGTTTTTGAAATACTCAGACCACCCTGTCTGGCACCAACAACCATGCCACGTTCAAAGTCACTTAAACCCCCTTTCTTCCCCATTTTGATGCTCGATTTGAACTTCAGCAAGTCGTCTTCAGCACATCTAGATGCCTAAATGCATTGAGTTGCTGCCGTGTGATTGGCCGATTAGCAATTTGTGTTACCAAGCTATTGAACAGGTGGACCTAATAAAGAGGTCTGTGAGTGTATGAGAACCATTTTCTGCTGCTGATGACGTGCCTGCAACAGGAGAGGAGAGCAAGCTGTATTATTCTGCCATTCTAGATTATCACACAGGAAGCGATCTCCATAACATCGACATTTAGTAGTTCACTAATATTATTCATGTTTATTGCCCCATCTAATCGGCCTCCGTGTGTGCAGGAGGTCCTGGTTCAGGAATAGGACACTCTCATTAGATACTCGGCTGGAAGATTTTTCTCCTGTTCTGGGATCCTATTTAACCCCCCGTGGCGGTATTCCCAAGTGTAGCTCGGAGTAAAGTTTCAGCACCACAAGCGGTAACCCCGAGCTACACTCAGGAATACACTGCAGCGTTGCTCCGGGATCTCTTCTTCACTCACCTTGTCCTGCGCTCCCGCGATGTCCCCCCTGTATTGTCCTCCGGCGGATGCTGGCATCTGTCTTCCGGGTTCTGTTCCCTGCAAGCGTCGGAACGTACGGGGGACGGAACTGGCGGGAAATTAAAAAATGTGAAAAAGTGACATTCACTAAATACACTAAAATCACACATAGTACTCCATTCCTGTATCAAACCATTTCACATACATTTTGTCCCGAGTGCTTTGTCCTGCGCCCTGCCTGCATTTTTACTGTTCTTTCTGCCTGAAAACTGAGAAACGTCCATGGCGTCCAAAAAGCGTCCCTTTAGGTCAAAATCGGTTTTAGACCGGCTAGAGAACAGCGATAGTAAATCAGAACCACTTGGAGAATTAAGTGATAATGATTCGTGGGGGAAATTCGTCATCAGACACTGAAAACGATTCTGCGACTTTGCTCAGCGATGTGCGAACTTGGTGCTCTATTTAAAATTTTAGTGTTTTTGGTTTGATTATATTATTGAATTAAATGTATTATTATTATATTATTATTTATGATTTATCAAATTATAATTTTTATGTTTTCGTGTTTCAAATGTTATCATACCCGGGATGTTTACTAGACTCTTGTTCGGACAGATTTCAGTGAGTTATTCCTAAATATTACAGGCCTACAATAAAAAATACACATTTCCATGCAAAAAAATGTTCTGCTTTGAGCACAGAAATACGGACATAATCAGACCGCTAGGGGGGTTAAAGAAGAAGAATTCCGAGCATGGTGTATGTTTACATAGTTATGGTTGAACTGGATAAACTTTTGTCTTTTTTCAGCCAGACTAATTATGTAACTATGCTCCAGCTTGCAGAATGGCCTGCCTGATGCATTCTGAACACAGGAGGTAGCTCACTGGGCACAAGTGCCTTTCAGAGAATTTGGAATATTTTCTCATTGACTGCAAAGCATTCTCTGATTGGACAAGGTAGAGAGCGTGACAGCACCACCCCGCCTCTCCAGCTTGGCCAATCAGAGCATGCTTTGCATTCATTCAGAAAATGCTAGGTATTCTCTGAATGGTGCCTGTGCCCAGTGACTGACCTCCCATGTTGTGAATGTATCACGCAGCATGGGGCCTGGAAGCAAGTGGGGATCAGTGGAGAAGCACTGTAGTAGCGGTGTCTACTACAGTCATTTCCAGCTTCCAGGGGATGCCACAGGTATATACAAAGCTTTGGTCCAAGCTGGACCAGTGTGACCATGCCTGGAATTCTTCTGTCAGTGACAAAGGGCATGGAAGAATACACAGTGCTGATGAAGGCGTTGACACTGTAATATCCCTCCTATGGCCTTACACAGGGCCATGTCAGAGGAATGATCTTGTCAGCAACGTGCCAGTGACAGGATGACTAACCTTCTCCAGTGTTTAGAAGCGGTCAGCCTATTTCTCTGCTAAAGTGGTGGTGAAAGTGACACACAAATCCTAATATATAGTATACCAAAGCAGACCATTTTAAATAACTCATAAAATCAATATAGAGTGACTAAAGGGTACACATAAACAGAGTTCTGTCACACTAAATTACCCTAAAAAAAGGGTCTCAATTAAACCAATATCCGATTAAAAAACCAGATTATGCAAAATAATAATATAGAAATAATATAGAATCTTCCACCAAAGTGACAAAATAATGTGAAAACGTTCATTTCAGTGATGTGATATCTCTTTAAGGCAACTTGATCTACCATCAGTGTGATTCTGCAGTGATTATCACCCCATTGAATTCAACACTCGCCAGAAGCTGGTGAATAACCAGCAGTGGAAACTCAGTATTATTATTATTATACAGTATTTATATAGCGCCAAAAAGTTTGCTCAGCGCTGTACAGAGTAGTGGGGGACAGAACATGAGACAATACAGTAACAATACAATATATGAGGGGATCGAGGGCCCTGCTCTTTCGAGCTTACAATCTAGGAGGGAGGGGATAGTGGTACAGGAGGAAGTGGCTGTGGGGGATGGAGTGATAGGAGGAGTGGAGGAGATCGGCTGTTAGGTGAGGGTGGGGTAGGCTTCCCTGAAGAGATGGGTTTTCAGGGTGTGCCTAAAGGTGAGAAGGGTAGGTCTGATGGATTGGGGTAGTGATTTCCAGCAGAAAATCAACCTCCTTAACCCCTTCCCGCCGCCACCTCCCGGCCCTTTAAGAGAGTTTTCAGAAGCCGGGAGGGGTGGGGTTTAGGGATCATGTGACCGCCGTGACGCATCATCACGGTGGTCACATGATCGGGAAAGGTCCCGATCAAAAGATCAGACTGGGAGCTTTCCGTGAGTACCGGACATGTGTGCTGGGACTCAGCATATGTTTTTTGTTAACTGCACGCAAATGTGCAGCCGCTCGGCGTCTAGGCCCAGACTCTGGGAGGCCGCACATTTATGTGCTGCCGGCTTGAAGAGGTTAACCACTTCCCATCCGGCCTATGTACATAAACGGCCGGACGGGAGCAGTGCAGGAGCGGGTTGCTGTTCATAAACAGCGCCCTCATTTACAGCCTGGCAGCGCGCAGCACCGCGATCTGGTGCCCGCTGTGTCCAGAGGACACAGTGGAACACCGATCGCTGTATAGGATCTCTGTGTGGGGTCTCGATCATGTGATCAGTGATCACATGAATAGTAGTAAGCAAGATGTAAATTCCTGACATTGCTTACTATGTGTGAAATCTGAATGATCACAGAGATCACATAGTACAGGGCTATTCACAACAGCCTTGTACCATGTGACAAGCTGTGACCAATCACAGCTCACACAGTATTTCTCAATAGCTGCAAGAATGCAGCCAGAGAAAGAAGGTAAAAAAAATCTGATTGCTTTTACAGCTTTTGTGGGTGTAAAATCACAATCACGTGTAAAAAAAAAAAAAACAATCTTAATCACCCCCCACTCAGTAGTACAGTGTCACCATGGTGAAATGATTGCTTTTACACTAAACTGCTAGGTGTGACAGTATGTCACCATGGTGACACTTAATAAAGTA